GCTTGGCTGGATATGGGCAGGGGCACAGCCAGGACCCTCAGCCTAAAAGAGCTCTTTATTTATTTATTTATTTTTCCTTTTTTTTTTTTTTTTGTCTTTTTTCGTGACCGGCAATGGATCGCAACCCTCAGCGTCGCGCCCGTACCGGACCGGGACCGGCAACGGGATCGCAACCCTCGGTGCTGCCCCCGCACCTCGCTCAGCCAGTGAGCGGCTGGTCTGTATGTGGGATCCGAACCCTCGGCGGGAGCGCCGGCGCGCTCCCAAGCGGCGGACTGTAGCAGTGCGCCACCGGGCCGGCCTAAAAGAGCTCTTTAAATAAGAAACTTTAAAATGTAAGTTATAAGAAAGCATAATGATAGTTTAATTGGAAGTATTTTTTCCTCTGTTAGTGGTACCTAAAATAGTGATGTGCCATACAATCAATGGTGCCTTCAAGTCAGTAAAATAAGGTAGATACTTCAGAGAATATAAAAATGAGAAAGCAGTTTTAGTTCTCAAGATACTCATAATCCAGAAGGGGGGATGACAAAAGCACATATGAAATAATAGAAGTAAGGCAAAATATAGCTATCATCCCAAATAGATACCAATCAAAAGATTTGGACATTTAAAAGAGGCCTGGAAGAACTGGAGGATTCTAGCTGGCAGAGACAGGACAGAATAGGAAAGTAAAGAGAATGACCGAGGATCCAATGCAGGAAAACAAGGGGCATTACTGGGGAATGGTGAGTAGCATATTTTGACTATTATACTCACTATATTTTAATAGGGTTAGTTACCCTTTTTGGCTTTACAAACACCTTTAAGAATTTCATGAAAATCATGAACCCTATAACTGGAAATAAAAGCATAAATTTAAAATTAAAAAGTTTTGCATACTATTTCTGGGGATTTCCCATTCACAGGTATCATAAGAGAGGGGAAGTGTAGGGAAAAGTAGCCTTGCTGGACATCCCATGAGAGGCTGGTACAGTTGACAGAGGCTGCAGAAGTCCTTTTTCTTGAGGAGAGATTTGCATATGACCGCATTGGGAAGAATGACTAAGAAAAATGGAATCAAGGGCCGGGGGTGGGGACTCATCCAGACTGCTCATCCAGGAATTGAAGGAGCTGGGACAGCCTTGGGAATTATTTCCAGTTCTGACTTGGATGATACGGACTTCTGATCTGGTGGAAAAGTGTCTAGAAAATGTAGCTGGGAAATAAGATACAGGGGTAAAAGTATGCCAGGGTCTTCTTAGGGAGGACCTTCACTCCCCCTACCCCAGCAGATTTTATACTTAATTCAGGAAGTACTGGGGACATAATGCAGACTTCTGAGGAGAATGAGGTTCAGAGCTCTGGTTTAGGAAGATTAATCTTCGGATTAGAGCTATGAGAGAAGCCGGGGGAGACCAATTAGGAGTTTATGGAAGTTTTTTTTTTTATATTCTTCAAATACATTCTATTTATTCCATTTTCCCATCTCTCCCCTCCACCCACCATTTGGCAGAGAGCCAGGTCTTTACTAGGCATTGTGTAGTGCTTACTGAAGTGAAAGCTGTAAATTCACTTTGAGCATCCACTTGTACTGTCCCTATTCCTCGGCAGGTGGCACCATTGCAGCATTATTTACAGAGCAGGGTTCCTTCTAAAAGCACAGTGCTTCCAAGCAGAAAAGTTGCTTATCTAAAGGAATTCACTTTCCATGGACAATCTAGAAGTGGGGGGGAAACAGTAATTGGAATAAAAGATTCAAAAACATTCTTTTGTACTTCCATATCATTTCTTACTGTAGCATGGTAATCCTGGCTGAATTTCTATTTTTAAGCATGAAGATAAGGACGCTTATGAAAACCTACCTTTTCAAAGAGGCAAGCAATTTTATGTCTTGTGAGAAGTACAGACTTAAATATATTTGGGAAGTAACTACTGCTCAGTTCTCAGAATACTTCTAGGTGAGCCATTTCATTATACATATCAAGCAGAGACCAGATACTGAGATCATATAAAACTACATGTTTATGTTGGAGGCCAGTTTGCATTTCTTAGGGAAATAACTATTTCTCTAAGAGCTGATTTTAGTTGTATCATGCTAACATTGTAGCTTGTTTCTATGAAGTTGTCTGTGTTTTCATTTTGAGATTAAGAGCTCAACCCTGAGAGAGTCCCCTTGGACCAGCAAGAGATGGGAGTGCCAGAGCAGCTGAAAGGGCTGTGAGGAGTTATGCCCAGCATTGTGTTGGGCCCAGACATGAAGCACTGCATGAAGCCAGGGCACAGCCCATTTTCTCACCTCTAACACATCAGAGGTGCTCTGGCAAACTCCATATACTAGCAGACTTGGAAGTAATGGAAGACAGGATTTTTAGCACATAAGGGGAGTCAATATAATTTGAGTTTGTTGAATAGGTGGTGAGTAATCAGATTTATGTGAAGATTTCAATTCAGTATAGGAACTACTCTGGAGGCAAGGGTGCTAGGAGTACCAGCTTCAGGCAGGGTCATTTCTTCTTTGGTATTTTTCAAATTAAAAAAGTCTCATTAGGGGCTGGCCCGGTGGCGCACTGGAGAGTGCACCACTTGGGAGCGCGGCGGCGCTCCCGCGAGGGTTCGGATCCCATGTGGAGACCGGTTCCCGCTCACTGGCTGAGCGCGGTGCGGGCACAACACCAAGGGTTGCGATCCCGTTACCGGTCAGTAAAAAAGACAAAAAGGAAAAAAAAAAGTCTCATTATACTTTAGCTCAATGATTCTTACTTTTTAACTTAATTCTTACTTTTTAAGGATTAAGTTGAAACAGTGGACCTTCTCTCTAGAGAATGTACATACTGGTACTTACATGGTTTTGTATCCAATTTCAAGGGGTTGTGGCTCCCTGAAGTCTAAAAGTGACTCCTGCCTGTGAGTCCCTGGTTAGGATCCCACCTGAAACTCACTCATCAGGAGCATTTCAAAAGAGAAATGCAAGAGGAGAGTGGGGAACAGGGAGGATGGAGGACCCAACAGACCAACTTGTGCTGGTTCCTCTGAGATGATGGTGCAGGTGACTGAAGAGGCTGAAGAATTGCTTTTTCTGGGGATATTTTTATCTATCTGGACTTGTGGGGAATAACTAGAGAACTTCTAGGAAGACTTGAGCTAAGAGAATGAGGGCATTTGGGACAGCAGGCATAGGAAGGGGAACAAATGGAGTCAAGGGTTAAAGGACTCAAGCAGAACTTTCTACATGGGCTAAAGGGCTACACTGCCCTTGGGATTCATGTCAGACTCAAGAATCTGAGCTACAGGGAACAGGAAAGAGGCACAAGGATAGAGCCGTGTCAGGGAATACCTGCTAGCTTGGGCTTCTTGCTCTCAAGCTGCAGGTCCAGAAGGCCATCTTCTCGATGCTATTATCACCCGCTGGACTCTGAGAAGGACCACTAACCAAAATCTAAAGTGCAATTTTTTGTTCCAACTAAGAAGATGAAAAGTGACTAAAATTGATGTTATCTCCTTTTCAGGACTCTTTTAGGCTCTTGATTAGGGAAGTAAGGGATCTCCTCTAAAGATTCAAATGAGAGCAGTTAGCATAATGGTTTCCATCTAGGGCTCTTTAAGTCAGACAGACTGAGTTTAAGTCCTGCTCTGCCAAGTGCTAACCTTTGACCCTGAGCAAGTCTTGGAGTCTGTTTCTGAACTGTTATGTAAAAACAATAGTGCCTACTTCGAAGGGTTGTTGTGATATAAAATCGGGCACAGTGCCCAGCACACAATATGTGCTCAATAAATAATAGTTACCATTGTTATTAGTACTGAATGCTGGAACTACAGTAGGAATCTATCTCTCTGTCCTCAAGGACACTCCCCCAGTTATGTACATTAGTTGCCCTCTCTAGGGCCCCCAGCACACATTCCCCAACCACTGCATAGCTCAAGACTTCCTGGGGTCATCCTATGTATACAAGGCTGGCCCCTGAGAACTTTTTGGCCTATAGCTACATGACATTTATGATGAAAAGGCCCATGCTAGCTTTGGGATCTCACCATACCCCTTTCCTTAATTCTACCCAAAGGACAAGGGTTCTTTAGATAGGGAAAGATTATATAAAAAGAGAATTTCTAGAACCTTCCCTGGTTAGTTTTGTTTTCCCACAGGAGTCAGTCACCACCACCCCCCACCCCAATAGAACTATAAAGAAATTAACATTTGCACAAACTTTCCTAGGAGTCTTATATATTTTTCTCCCCAACAACTTTTTATCCCCATTTTACACATCCAGAAACTAAATCTTGAGCAGTTGATTCAGAATTTGAACTGAGATTCAAGCCCAGATCTCGGCCTCCAGCACTCTTTCCACCACTCTGCAGCAACCAGCAGCAAGAAAACACACACACACACACAACACCCACACCCACACGACACCCACACCCACAGCCCGCCAGATCACCCTGCTTTCAAAGTTTGTTCACGGGCATCCAGGAAAATCTCTATCGCCCAAGGAAGCAGACTAGAGCTGATGTCAGTCTAAGCCTTTGGGGGAACACCTTACCAGCATTCTCCACTAGAGGCCTGAGGCGGTTATTGTGGTTTCCTTTGTGATGTGTCAGTCTACTCCCAGAGATCTGGGGGAATACCTCCAGAACAATACCCCCCACCCCACTCCTTCCATGGAATAGATTGTCATACCTACCATACCAGGACCCAGATTTGAAAATCTCCCAGGGGCCAGATGCTCCACTGAAAAGTTTTGCACATGTGGAGTGCTGGCTACTAAAAGTCCTTGTTAGCCTGGGAGAATCAACACATATCTCCTTCTTAGACCAGCTAGAGGTCAAGGTGCAGGACAGAAGGGAAAGTAGGCAGAGTTGGCAATGCCTGTCCGAACTAGGGCAGGAATAGTCAACTCCTTGGAACTGGAGTGAAGGAGAGAGGAGGGGAGGCATCCATGGTCCCTGCAGTTCCCACTAAGCCCTGGTCCATGCAGTGGGCCCAGGAGCCCCACCCTGACATCCCTCTAGTACCAGTCATCAAAGAGGGGAGATGACGCCTTTTTATTAAGGTTAACAAGGAAAGCATTGAGAAAGAATACACAAAGGAGGGGGGAGGGCACACAAAGTCACCACTTGAGGAGGTGGGAGGGAGGCACATCAGTTAGTAAACCTCAGGACAGCCACATGCTCCATGCCCTGGTTGTGGGGGTGAGGGGTGGGGGAAGCAGAGAAGATGAAGAAGGGCACACAAAGTCACCACTTGAGGAGGTGGGAGGGAGGCACATCAGTTAGTAAACCTCAGGTCAGCCACATGCTCCATGCCCTGGTTGTGGGGGTGAGGGGTGGGGGAAGCAGAGAAGATGAAGCGCCATGATAATTTAGGGCTCAGAGAAGGGTCTGAAGCCCCCTGAACCTAACACCGGAGCCACAAGCCCTGCCCCTCAGGGCTCACACACTACTACACAAGTGGACACACATAACACACACAAGACATTATGGAGGCAACACCGAGAGGCAGAGGGCAGGGACATATTGACAGAAAATAGAACTGAAGTTAAGCAGGTGTAGCCGGGAGAGACGGTTTTTGGCTGCGGCCCCCAAGAGTCCCTCAAACGTCCCCTAAATCTGGGCTGTCGCTGAGCACCCCCGAGTCTCTGCCTGTGAACTGGGCTCTTTGTTCTCTAAGCCCCAGTGAGTGGAAAAACAATCCCAGATGAAGTCAGTGGCAAGGCAGGATCGGCTCTGCATGCAAAATCCTAGAGGTTGAGCTATTATGTCTTCATGCACATTCATAGCCAGCTCCTCCCAGCCCAGGGGCCCTAGGAACCCCATTCACCCAGATAGGGCTGCGGTTCCCTCCTCAAGCTTCCTTTACCAATCAGCAGCCGCAGAGATCTGTGAGGGGGAGAGGCTTCTGCAGAACACTGAATGTCCTGGATTTCAGCAGAGGGGTAGATTTCCTGTTGCCAGAACAGAATACCCCAATTCCTTAATTTCTAGGTAAATCGTTAGTTTATTTGCCATAGTCCTAGATAAGTCCTTTTTCAGAATACAAAAAAGCAGAATTTTATTTACAATTCAGGGGTTCTCCTGTTTCCTGGGGAGGAGTAAAGGGTAGGGTAGGGGATGGATGGGAATCCGGAGATAGGCGCTTCCTTTCCCGGAACCTCACCTTTCGTCAGTTTGCTATGATTCGCTTGGTTCGGGCAGAAAGAATTCTTGATGCTCCCAAAGTCCTTCGCCCTACAAATCCTTCCTCGAGGGAGTCTCTCTCTGCCCGACCCACAAGAGCAGCCGTCGTTGTGAAGCTGCACCGCGCCGTTCAGTCCCCTTGCCTCACGCACTGTGAAACCCAAAGCCAGCCCGGGAAGGTAGTGCCCCCGTGGAGTCCCCTCACAGGGAGGCCTCGCCGTCCAGATGCAGCAGGGTAATGTCGGGCAGGTCGAGGGGCTCCACAAGTGGCCCGTTCCCCCCAAGGAGACCAGCACAGGGACTCTTAGGGCGCTCACAGTGACTGGTGGGTGTGGCGGGGCTGGGCACCTCCTTCTCTTCGTCGTCGTCCCCCTCGTCCTCAGGATCGAGACCCGGCAAGCCGCTGTCCCCGATCATAGGCGAAGGGGTCTCCGGCTCTTGGGGGACGCCCGGGAAGCTCCCCTTGCCGCCGACCACGCCCAAGCCGCCCTGGCGGGGCGCCGTGGTCATAATCCGACACATGGAGACGATGGCCCGCTGGTTGGCACACACGTCGTCCGAGAGCACTTGGATGTGCGAGGCCTGCTCGTCCAGGGCCCCCCGCATGGCCCTCACGTCCTCAAACAGGGCCTGCAGCTGGGCCTTCAGGTGCTCCATCAGTTCCTTCATGCCGCCGTTGTACTCTCCGGAGATCACGTCCCCCACGGCCGGCACGGTGGACACCTCCAGAGGGGCCGGCATGTCGCCGCCGTCCTTGGTCATGATCTCCAGCAGACCGTCCTCCATTGAATGGCAGAAGCGGGCAGTGGCGGCTCTGGGTCGCGTCCAGCCCGGCCTCCGGGGTGGGGGCGGGGGCGTGGGGGAGAAGTCCCGGGAGGGGCGGGGAAGAGCGGGGGGAAGAGGAGGCTCCGGGAGGGGCTGCGAGCCGACGTGAGGAGACGAGTCCCGGGCGGAGGGCGCGGGCAGGATCGGGGGAGGCCGGAGAGAGACGGCGGGACGAGGACCCGGCGGGGGTCCCAGGGCCGGCCTCTCTCGGGCTCGCCCGGGGGCGAAGGCGCCCTGCCCTACTGCGCCCGTGTCGGCGCCGCCCTCCGGACGCCACGAGCAGCGAGTGCCCGTCGGTTCCCAGGGTCACAGAGACGCTCGCGGAGGGGCCCAGGCGAGGTCGAGGCAAGTAGCGCGTCGAGCTCGGGACTCCCCTTGGCCATTAACGGGCAGCGCCCGCGAGTGAGGCTGGAGCGGCAGGGCGGGTCTCCCAGCGGCGCGGCGGATGCTCCTCTGTTTCCAAGGCGACGCACGGCACGTAAATGACGTGTGTCTCCATGGTAACCAGGAAGTGGGGAAGAAAAAGGAGAGGATGGCTGGGAAGCTGCAGTGGGGCTTGGAGTCTGGGCTAGCGGGTGGGGCGGGCGGGGAGGAGACGCTGCAGTGGCCTCAACCGAGGCTGGAAGGAGCGTGTAGCTGCAATGTTTAATAGGGAAGCATGAGAGAGCATTTTGCTGCTTAAACGCCCAAGCCCGGGAGAGATCATTCCTCCCCCAGTCCGGGTATTAAGGCACTGACTGCCTTAGAAGGATTTTCACCAGCCCGCATTCCTTTTGCAGAGGATGGCGCTAGAACCGGGTCCTGCTTCCCTGACCTCCAGCCGTCCGCAGGAAAGCAGAGAGGGTACAGAAACCGATGCTAATAATTCCAGACTTGAGCTGGGGTGCGGTGGCGCCCTGGAGGCGGCCCCGACAAGCCTGGCGGTGCGGGGGGGGGGGCACTACGGAGGGTTCTGCCTCTCCCTTTGGCTTCTGCAGTAAATTAGCCCTCTCGCTATAGAAAGCACAGGATCTGGGAAAAGATGGGGTTCCCTCCTATATGAAACTCAACCGCTCCTGTCAAGTACTTAAGTTTAGAGAATGAAAGCTCCATAAGGACAGAGTTTGTCTTCCCTGCACCCTGCATCACGGAATCCCCAGCAGCTAAAATAGTGCCTGGCACGTAATAGTAAGTAGATGCTCTTGTATATTTGTTGAATGGATACTTTAATAAGAACCATGCCCTTGGCCAGAACTCTCCAGCCCACAAGTAGTGGATTTTAGGACACCTGAATTCAATTTTATATCTGCCTTTTATTAATTCAGAGACTTTGGCTAAATCATCTTCCTGATCTGTTAGGGGATCAGAATGGATAATCTGTAATATTATTCCTAACTCTGAATAACACTCTGCATCAGCTCATAGTTGAAAGGTGAAACTGTTGACAGAAATGGGGAGACTCTATGTAAGGGTAATTGCCTCCTCCAGTGCACATGTTCAGACATATACTGAGTGTCCCCAACCTTTGTGACAACCCCTTTCCCTATTTGAGGGGTGGAATGGGAAGGGAAGAAGAGGAAGAAAAATTGGATTTAATATATTTACAGATAACACCAGATTGAGAAGCATTTAGCACCTGGGCAGTAGCATATTAATAAAGACCCCTAGTAAATGGGAGAATATAGGTGATCAGAAACCAAAACTGAAGTTCACAAGAACAAATAAACCTGGTGAGGACAAACAAACGGTGTCACTTCAAAATAGAGAAGAGCTAGGTATGGGTGAGTGTATTATATATTGGCAGTTCAACAATAGCAAATGTGTTACCTTGTAGTTTCTCTGGCTGTGTGCTCTACTGATGAAGAGTGAGACTGGCCTAGGGAAACCTTTGTGGCGCTAAAGAACTGTTTGGCCTATGCCTGTCTGACTGCTATTAAAAGAGAAACAAGGTGGGAATATCCCAAATGTCCAACAGCAGAATGTTTAAATAATCTAAGGCATTGCTGATGTAATAAGGTATTGCAGTCATTAAAATTTTGATTTCCCAAAACAAATTAAAAACCCCACAGTATTGTATTTTCTAAAACTAATGATTCAATCCTATTTTCTTGCTCATCCTTCCTTCCTTCTACAAACCTGTGGTATTCTCACCTTGGTTATCACGCCTACCTCCACCATATGCCCCAAACATGGTTAATAACACTTTAGGTTATTCCTAAAGCTCTGACTCAGGAATGCTCTGATTCAGGGCAGAAATGCTTTCCCTTGATTTCCCTATGCACAGCTGAAGTTGGCTGGTATTTCCAAAAAGACTTTATTTTTAAAACTATAGAAAAACTAGAAACAGAGACAGGGCACATAAAAACAGCTGAGCTTGCCAGAAAAGACTGGCATGGCTACAGGGTTTGTTACTTCACATCTCTTGACCAACACTTCACATGGAAGATTTCATCTTGCCAGTTCTCTCACCCTTCAGGAGGGTCCCTACCTTTTACCTACAGTGGCCCTGTCCCCAGCATAGGGCCTCCCATCTTTGCAATCCCTTAAGCTTACATTAAACATAGCCCCATACAGTAGGCGCTGGATTATGTCATCATTCAAGGCCCTTTGCCACTATTGTTAAGGATACCATATATATCATGGCTTTAAGCATAAGATTACATCATGCTGCCCAGAGGTGCTGGCCATGAAGTCCCCTCAGAGTACAGGGGGTCTGAGCCCAGAGGAAGAGGAAATTATTTCAGAAGCATGGAAGACAATGGGAAACAGGTGCAGAGATCAAGGGGTGTGGCTGATCCAGTCAAGTTCCAGGTGAGACATTTGAGAGCCAAGGGTAGGTGGGAACTGGGGGAGTGGACCAGTAGCAGGACTTGAAAACATAGGGAGGAAACATGGGTGCATCAGATTCAGAACCAGATAATTTGAGGAATTTTGTGTGAAAATGAGACATGGGAAAATAGGATAAGGGTCTAGTGTTAGTAAAATAAGGGGGACAGATGCAGAGCCTCGGCCAGCTGGCTGGGTTGCAGGGCTGGGTCCTCTGGATGCCAGTGCCCTAGAGTCTGTTGCATGGGTCCACTCCCAAGCAAATGGGGGCTGGATGGGTACCATGGCCATCCCACTAGAGTATTCAGAGGAACTGCCACATAGCAAGAGAAAATAACCTACACACTTTTCTTCTTGCCTTTCTCTTTTCCTCTGGGAATCACCTTGGCTGTTCTATTCCTTCAATCCAGTCTCATCAGTCCATGCAGGAAGAGACCCCATGCTGCATAGATATAGGCCTTCATCAGGTACACTCAGTTCCAAACATCACATTCTCACTAAAACTGTGATTCTGGTAGTCTCTGCCATTTCCCTCTATCTGGTTCTAGTTTATCTCCAATTTCTATTTTATATTGCTGGTGCACTTTTTGCACTATAAATCCAATGAAGACAGTCACTCGACTCATATCTAGAACAATGATCTAAAACAAGGTACAGCTTAGTGCTATACCTTAGGTCCAAAATCCCAGATGATATCCTCCAAATGTAACTGTTATGAAGCCGAGCTATCTTGTGGCCCATTTCAGCACAATATCACATTTAAAAGAAACATATCCAATAGCAAAAAGAATTAAAAAGCGATTTAGTTTATTACAGTCTCTAAGAAAATTCTAAAGGGGCTTACAGTCTTAGCACAGAGCAAAACATATTGAACTTCTCTCTCCTCTATCTCATGCATTATGGCACAGCTGCTGCTGTTGGTCTCCTCCTTCTCCCCAAATAGCCCCAAACATTCTTTCAAGCCTTGCCCTTGTTTTCTTACTCCCCAGCTCCTTCCACCACTTAGATGTATTCTTTTTCTCTCCTGCAGGAAGAAACTTCTTGTCCTTCTAATGTAAATTATTTAAGCTTATTCCAGCTTCTTTGATTCTGTCCTTCATTCCTTCCATGTGTACAAGCACCAGGAGCCCCAGCTGTTCATTACAGGGGTTTTCTCAGAGGGTAAAAAAGACAGAGGCTGAGAGTAGTTGTGTTGTTGTGGGATCTGTCTGTCACATAGACTAGATTTTCTCAGCTGGAGAGGGTGCTTTACCTGGTGTCACAGCCAACCATCTTCACTCACCTTCCCCACATTTGTCCAGAGAAATGGACATGGTGACTTGTAAGAACCCTGAGCCCTTGTGAGCCTCTGACCAGAGAGGGGGTCTAACTATCCAGATCTTCAAGAGTCTTTAATGTCACAGTCATAGCCATGAAGTGAGCTACCCCCCCCCCCACCTAAGGCCTGAGCTGGACTTGCAGTTGCTTGTTCTGTGACCTCAAACAATAGTCTTTAAGGAGTCTTTAAGGCCACCTGACTCCTTTCTCTTCTCAATTAACTTCACTGAGAATTCCAGAGAGCTTCCAACTTCTCATGTAATCTGAATGTCCACTGGAAGTAGCCCCTCACTGCAATTAAACCTATTTTGCCAGTGTCTCTTCTGTCTCCCCTTTCTGCACTGCCCACTGCAACTCTTATATCAACACTTGCAGAGGTCCACCCCTCTTCCCGTCCCCAGTGCATGTTTAAATTTGTACCCTGTGCCACTATGACATGACTGGTCCCACTCCAAGTGTTGCTGGGTAGCTGGCCACAGACATAGAAGCATTCAGAGCTCTGGAGCCACTGGTAATCCCTGATGTGGAGCTTCATGCACCTTCCATCCTCTCCACATGTTTTCTGCCCCCAGAAAGTTGCCGTTCTTGAAACAGCTCAGAGCCTGGTTTGGCTCCAAGTCGGAATCCTCACCCGGCACTGATAATGCTGCACGACTGAAAGCACCCACAGTTTCTGGTTCATTGGGGACAATTTTGCTTGACAAATTGCCTCTCCCAGGGTATCAGTCCAATTTGTAGGAAATTATGCCCCATCTAGGGTAGAGTAGGGACTGTGGTATGTGTGCCACAAACTTACCTTTCATTAAGGGAATTTTTAGAAACTTAATGTCCCTCAAAGC